GCAATATAACTCCAAAAAGACAGTAGATCTGGGCTCTACAACACCCCAACATTCAGATCCATAACTATTTCGACTTAATAAGACGTTCATGCAAGTGTAAGGCTTGGAACAAGCATCATCTAGCTCTTAGGAGAGCTCTAATGGAAGTTTAAAGCATATAACAAGATGGAACTCCGAAAATACCTCTATTAACTCTGATTTGGCCTTGGATCTTTGCACCACAACACTTCTCCTTGCTTCTTCCTTCTTCTCCTTCTTCACACCTTCACAAAATGGCACCAAAACACATATAAGCTCTTCAAGGGAGGTTTAGGGTTCTAACACTGCGTTCTCAGGGTGAGGGAGGCGAGGATGGGGGCTATAAGGTGGTATAAATAGTGGGCAACCCGGGGATTTTAGGGTTTCACCCAGACAGATGGACTCGCCGAGTCAGGGATATGGACTCGCCGAGTCCCCGGCTCACGCGTGCCCTCAGGCGCGACCCTACTCGGCGAGTCGGGCTAGAACTCGCCGAGTCCCACTTGAAAAACTCACTATAATTACCAATAAATCAACATACCGGGAACGGGTCGTTACAAAATGTTAAAGATTTCAATATGATCTAGCTAACTAGAGAATGTTTCAATTACTATTATGCTTAAAGAATATCATACCATTAATTTTCTAACAAAAAAAATGATATATATACTAAAGTCTCAATATTTTCAACAATTTGACAAGAACGTCTCAAACTTTATTTTTTTTTACAGTAAAGTCCTAATTGAAAACTTGACAAGAAAGTTCTGAATTTTATTTTTTTGACAAAAAAGTCCTAATTACTAGCTAACCGGAAAAAAAAGGTAAAAGTGTAAAAAACTACTAGTAATTTGAACTTTCTTGTCAAAAATATAATATTTAGGCTTTCTTGTCAAAACGATGAAAATATTGGAACTTTAGTGTATATATTCCAAAATCATATGATAAAAACTAATAGTTATGATACATAATTACAAATAATTAGTTATTATAATTGGACAAATATTATTTTAGCTTCGGTTAATTAAACGAGCGAATGTTGATACTAGTATAATAAATGCATGTTACTTAAAATGTAAAAGGAAAATTTGTAACATAAATAAATTGATGATGTATAGAACTTGGACTAAGACTTTGTGTGATCCAAGCTTTCGTCGATTACCAAACTGTTATAGATATATTGAATGTGATCGTAAGAATACATTCTAGCATTCAAGTCAACAATGCTCAAGTTAATGATGAAAATATAATAAGGAAAGTTATCCAGATAATATAAAAAGAATATCTAAAGGGTCTAGTTGACTATCTTATATTTTCTTTGACGATTTTTGAGGTTCTATGATTGGGTATTCGGGATGTTTGGCCTATACATCATTCATTTAAAAGTTCAACAACTTATCAGGTTTGAAATGACAGCAAACTAAGTTTGTTTTAGTAGTTGTTGCAAGAAAAAAATGGTGCAACCTATTTATACATACAATGATTTCAAACTCTTGTGTTTCGGAGGTGTAGGGCTTTTAAAAACAAATTTATCTATTAAACTTTTGTAATTAATATTAACAAGAAATTCGTTCTCAATTGAAATTAAAATCAAAATAATTAATCTCTTTTGAGACATGGTCAAACGCAAATAAGATTTTAAAAACTTTCTACTTTTTTTTTTTTTTTTTTTTTTTTTTTTTTTTTTTCCTTCTATTGATGCAACTCAAATGTGAACAGCCAACAATATTTTTTTTGTTAGACAAGAAACTAGATAAGTGTTTATTTTGTTTGTTAGACAAGAACCTAGATAAGCGTTTATCATTTCTAAGAATTGTAGTATTCCATTAGCATTATTATTTTCAATTGGTAAATATTTTTGTAACAGTCTCAGTTCGTTGGATAAATCATCAATATCGATGTTTGAGATATTGTCATTTTGCAACATTTTTTCAAGATTTTTGCAACTTGAGTTTATCTCACTATTATTCAGTGACTTTAACTTTTATATTGTGAATAAAAAACCAAAATTATCTTCATATTGTTTGTATTGTTTAAACATTCATTCCAGTGAACCAATAGCTTGATCAACTATGTACACAAAATAATGAATCATGAATGCTCTTGAGGTGAAGGTTGATATATCGGTTCTTATGACCCACTCTGATTCTCATTAAAAAAAAATTAAATTCTTATTTTATTATTTTTCTCAACAAACACTTTATTAGTTCTTAAATCACAAGTTATAGCTCTATGTATAGTTTTACATTGAAGTTATTTTCTTAAGTTATTTATTTTAGCCAATATATGATATCATATAACCATACCAAGTATAAAGTTAAATTTGTCAAGTTCATACTCTCCTGCTAAATAGCTTCACTTTTGATTTTTGTATATATCTCTTCATCAATAAATTAATACAAAACTTGAATTATTTTAGGAGCTTAAATTGCTAAATAACTTCACTTTTGATTTTTGTATATATCAATTCATCAATGGATTAGTCATTAAATGAGTTAATGAGATGTATATGTTGTGGTATATAATGCTACGTTTATCATAAAAACTTGATATTCTATTGCATTACATATTTTTTGGAGTATGAAATGCAGCCAAAATATACTACAATAATTACATAAATTAGCAATAATTTCATTATTTTTGAAGTTTATAAAAAATAATTTTTCTATTTAATTTTATGTAATCTATCATATTTATCTCATTAGCTTATTTAATGATTAGACATTTAGGTTAACAATGAAACTGATAAAATATGTGTTATTAGGAGAAAATTGTTGAATCATTACTTTTACCAGTAAAATATATTGAATATTTAATGGTTTCTTGGACAAAATCAATGTATGAACAAATTACAGTTTTGTATATGAATAGTGAAATTTATAAGATACAATCACAACCTCACAAGCAAACACTATTCTTGGGATGTATTATATCTATAATCTCTAGATTTTGTAGGGAAATTTCATCAGTTAAATGCTATCTCTGTATATTGATAATTGAATAACATGTTTTGAATGATGTAGATTCATGGTTTCAAGTAGGATTTGCTCTTACAACCGATATCAACAAGGCATTCGCGTTGGGTATCCAGGTGCAGTTATGATTCCTCTCGGGTGAGTAGGTGAGTGGAGTGGTGGGTTTGATCTTCGCTACAACCATATCACTTTACGCAAATGCCCTCATGACATATCTTCATGATTAGTTAGGACATAAACATTCATAACGAAATAAGACACTTTTGTTTATAAAAGTTGCTTTGTAATTTTATGACATTGCTATTCTTCGGTAGACTTTTCAAAACCAAATGTTGCATTATGAAAGAATGAAAGTAGGATGCTATTATAGTTATATATTTTTTTGCATTGCATGTTGAAATGAGAAAGTGATGTGAATTTATTTATCCCGCTCCAGGCAGTCCCTCCTGATCCATGTGAAGCATGGGCAACTTTACTAGTTATAATTAAAATCTATAAAACTTAATGTTTTGGTTATAAAATTTTAGAATTTTTTTTATTAAAGATGCATTAATTTATCATAATTTACGAATAAATCCTAAACTAAAGTTTGTTTATAGAAAAACACATATTACTGATAAAATGATGTTTTGACATTTTTCTTCCAATAATACGTATATTTTTTCAGTTTTTATTTTTGAACTGAATGCTTAGCCATTAAAATGAGCTAATGAAATGAATATATTTTATATAGGAAAATCTCCATTTAAATCTCATTATTTTACCATAATTTATGAATACTTTTCAAAATAAAATTTGTTTACAGAAAAACATAAGTTACCTGTAAAAGTGACGATTTAACATTTTTCTCATGGTAACATATATTTTATAAGATTCATTGTTGACATGGACGCTTCTTTATTAAATGAATTGATGAAATGTATATGTTATGTTATATAATGTTAAGTTTACCGTAAAAACTTGATATTCTTTTCCATTACATATTTTTTGGAGTATGAAATATACTACAATAATTACATAAATTAACAACTTCACCATTTTTGAAGTTTATATAAAATTTAAATTGTTTATGTAATTTTATCTAACATATTATATCTATCTCATCAATTTATTTAATGACTAGACATTTAAATTAATAACGAAACCGATAAAATATTTGTTATTGTGAGAAAAATGTGATATCATTATTTTTATCGGTAATTCATGTTTTTTCATATACAAATTTTTGTTTAATACTTATTCGTAAATTAGGAAAAATAATGGAACTTCAATGAAGATTTTCTTACATATTAGATATTAATCTTTCCAACTCCATTAAATGTGTACCTAAGCATTGAAATCTATAAACTAAAGGGCTTCTAGTCCAGCGGTATTCGGTGTTGTCTTCTCTTTTTGAGATTGAGGGTTCAAATTCCGTTGTGGATATAGGTAGATTTAAGGTGTAGTTTAGGAGTAATGAAACCCATAAAATAAAATATATGTTATTTGGAGAAGAAACCTAAATATCCTTTTTATCAGTAATTTATATTTTTCGTAACTAATTTTAATTTGAAATTTATTTCTAAAATAAAATAATAATACTTAGATAGAAGTTGAAAGATTTTCCATAAAACTTTACACTAAATTACGAAATGTTGTGTTTCAAATTTCAATGAGTACATTGGAAGATAACCATAATGCCATTTTTGATAAAGCCCAAAGGTAGTTTGGTCATTTCTACTTGATTGCGACGTGGCAACCTGTGGCCACACACGGGATTTGTAACGGACGTTTAAACGCTATGAGATAACGGGAGAGGTGACTGCCACGTAGTATTCCACGTAGGCGAAACAATATCCACGTCAGCAAGATTGACGAACCCCTTTATATATAGTAGCCTTAACCTGGTTTCTGTTCCTTTTCACTCAAAAGAACCCCAAACCCATAGCCTTGAACCTGTTTAAAATTTTGTAGTTACTCCGATCATCCACATTTGCCATCCGCGGCGAATTCTGATTGTACAATTTCGTTATGATTTCGCCGGAGATGAGGTTTCCGGCTGACGTTCATCGATTCCTAGATTTAAGCAGTTTTGATCTCTTAATTTCCGTAGGTGACGTACTTACCTAGCCTAAAACCTAATAGTAGCTGAAAACCCTACGCGAAAGCGAGCGTTACGTAGGAGAGATTAGAAGTTATTCCTTGTTTTGTCTCACAAATCGGTATTTAAATAATAGAATAATATATAATAATGCTAATCTATAAGATAAAGCATCAGTTTTGCAGGGTTTTCTAAGGATTTAGGCGGATTTCTTGGTTTTTGTGCCTCTTGGTTTGGTGATCCGATGGATGAGAGACTAGTTCATGTGCTGTGTTTTTACTATTACAGCCATTGGAATTTTGTTTCGGGTTTGTAGTATTGTGTGTTACCTAATCATTTCGATAAGGTATTACCATCAGAAAATTGAGGTTTTGTGATAAGTAGTTTTCTTTAGGTTTTAGACACTTTTAGGGGTTTTCTCTCCTAATTAGAGGCTCAAATTGATAATCTGGGAAGAATATTTGGTATGCCTTTGACGATGAAGATACAGCCAATCGATTCAACCACACCGGAATGTTTCGAGTCGGTGAAAACTGTGCCGAAGTCTCGGTTGAGACGTCTCTTTGATTTCTCGAGTTTTTTGAGAGGATCGGCGGTTGCGGATAGGTTCGTCGCCGGCGACTCGCAATGCGGCAAAGACTGTTCAGATGAGTTCGAGCCGAGCTCTGTCTGCTTGGACAAAATGGTCCAGAATTTCATAGAGGAGAGCAACGAGAAGCAGTCTGTGACCGCAACCATCAAGTGTGGCCGGCACAACCACCACCAGTGCAATTGCGTCAACGGCAACAACTTCTGCAGTAGCGATGGTTCCGAGGATGAGTTCGACTCATTCAATTGTTTCGGCAACTCTAACAACCACAGTTCGTCGACCGACGCATGTGATCTCCTTAAGGTGATAATCCATTTCCCACTAACCTTATCCCATTGTACGTCGCACGATTATAATCTGAAGAAATTTGTCTGCTTTTGGAGCCTGAAAAACGTTTATTGTGTGTTGAATTTATACAGAGTTTGGTGATTTGCGAGACAGTTTCTGAAAGGAATTTGTTGGCCGATGTTTCTAAAATCGTTGAAAAGAACAAGATCTGTAAGCGGAAAGATGAAATCAGTCGTAAGATCGTCGCCGATGGCCTCCTAGCTTCAGGATACGCCGTTTCTGTCTGTAAATCCCGCTGGGAAAAAACTTCAACCTATCCAGCAGGTAATTAATTACTCAAATCCATCTATCCAGATTTTTCCAAAATTTGCTTCTATCGATTTCGTATTAAATTCATAAAATTAAGTCCTTAGACCATTTCAAGCAATGGTTCTTTTCGTTCACAACTACTTTTCTATGAAATTACAGTCCTAAGTCCACATTAATTATTCTCGATTTTGATTCTACTTTTTTTTTTTGGGTGGGTTTTGGTTATTAACAGGAGAATACGAGTATATTGAAGCTTTGGTTGAAGGGGATCGTTTGATAATCGACATAGATTTCAGATCGGAGTTTGAAATAGCAAGATCCACGAAAAGCTACAAAGGTGTTCTACAAATGCTCCCTCATATTTACATCGGTAAAGCCGATCGTCTCCAGAAGATCATCAACATAGTTTCTGATGCAGCAAAACAGAGCCTGAAGAAGAAAGGAATGCCTCTACCTCCATGGAGAAGAGCTGATTATGTAAAATCCAAATGGCTCTCTCCCTGTACCCGAATCATCAACAACACTCCCACTGATAATAATAATAATAATAATACCCAATCCATGGTTATGAATGACCCGATTTCAGACCCAAAAGACCCGATTTTAATGGATGAATATGAAGTTATTGGAGGCGCTGAGGAAGGTCTGAAAGAATGGGAGCCATTAGAGATCAAACCGAAGGTACCAAAGACCGGAGGTAAAGTGGTTAGCGGTCTAGCTTCTGTGATCGAAGGCAACTGATGATTATTATAATTACATATCGGGGTTCAATTTGTCTAAACCCATTTTAATCCAGATTTTTCTTGATGAAAATGATTTGGATAAAGTGGGGTTTAGGGAACCGGTATTTTTGACTATTTTGTGTTTTGCTTGTTTTTGTTTTTGGTTTTTTTTTTTTTTTTAGTTCTCTTTCTGAGCTTTTTGGCCACCAGAAAAAGAAAAAGAAAAAGAAAAAGAAGATTGAAGAAAGAAAGAAAATATATACCGAAGAAGAAGATAAGATGGGTAGACTGAAGTCCCCTTGGTGTTTTTTTGTTGTAAGGGTCCATCTTTACTAACTTTGCTTTTGAGTTTTGATAAATAATGATATATATACATATATAAATAAATAGAATATTCAATAGTCTGTATCTTTAATCTTTAATTAATATAATATTAATATGTCTACCTGATACCCGTGTTTTCTTTTATTTTACCTTTTCAGTTGTTTATTTTTGTGTCAGCATACAAAACTGTCTCTACTTGAGTCGGTTGTAATTGTTTATTTTATGTTATAAGCTTCATAAACTAAAGTATGCATCCATTTGGAAGAGTAACATCATTGGGTTGATTGTTGATACTTGTTGGAGGCGTTAGTGTGTGAATTCATTACTGAATGGTTGGGTGAAGAAAGTTTTGATCTTGCAATTCATTTAATATTTGTACCTGGTTTTTAAATCTTAAAGGAAAGGATGAAGGGTCAACCCCATATATTAAGTATTAAGTATTAAGTATTAAGTATCGACTATTGATTATTGAATGTTGATGTGTTGATAATATGTGAAAACCAATATGAGGGGTGGGGGTGTTTGTTAGTTATTGTTTAGGTCCACCATATGGGTTCACCTAATAATTTGGATAAGTGTGTATGTACATTGTATATCCAATATCCATCCATCTACCCTAACCCTAACAAGTTTCTAGTATCCCCACTGGTCCAGACTTGTATATTAATTAAGGCTCTGGTTATTCCTAAACACTTATTGAACGGTTGGAGTTGTTGGATCACTCTTTCTGGGAAGTTTTCCGTAACTTCTATTATTTAGTTATTTTATTTTGTTTTATAAAAGGTTGTTTCTTTTTCTCTTACAACTACTTTTTACATATATTTCCGACAAACAAAAACCACAACTTCTCGCTTTCCAACTCTCAGCTACCGGCTATTAGTTTTTAGTTTTTACTAGGTCTGGCAATCGTGTCGTGTTCGGGTTGGCGGGTCAAAATATATCAACCCAAATACGACCCATTTATATATACGGGTCACGGGTTGGCGGGTTTGGAACATAAACCCATATATGACCCGCCAACCCATTTATTTATACGGGTTCACATGTTGGGTGGTTCGTGGATCAGATTTGAGTTAGTGGGTCAGATTTCATAAATAAATTAACAATTAAACATTAATAAATTCTTAATGGTTGATCCAAACATATCTGAATTTTAGACATTTACGTTTTAAACATCCAAAATGAAAATTAAAAACATCATAGAAACATGTTACATACTTAGCCTTATAGCCTATAAGTTACGACTTATGACCTTAGGTCATTCACCATGAGTTAAAATGTCAAAACAATCAAATGATCTATCAATTGTATATATTATATAATACTTATTAAATATTAATACTTGATACATAAATTCATTTAAAAATAAAATAATTTTTTTATTAAGAATATAAACGGGTTGGTCAACCCGTTTATTTTTTTTAGAAACTCATATATGAATTAAACGAGTTGGTGGGTTGAAAACTCAACCCAAACTCATTTATTCCGTGTCATGTCGTGGGTCGTGTCGAGTAGGGATGAGCAAAAGGACCGAACCGGACCGGACCCGGGAACCGGCTTCGGCCAAAATCAAGAACCGAACCGGCCAGCGGTTCCTACCGGTTATTGTCGTGTCTTCAAATGTTGGAACCGGTTCTCGAAAAATAGCATCATACGGTTCCGGTTTTTACCGGTTCTACCGTTTTTTGTCGGTTCTACCGGTTCCCGGTTCCAAAAATCCACAAAAATAACGTCCCGGTCCCGGCCCGACCGATTCTATCGGGTTCCGGTTCCGGTTCCGGTCCGACGGGTTCCCCGATCTATATGCTCATCCCTAGTGTCGAGAATTGTCAGCCCTAGTTTTAACTACCAATTATTTTTTATCAAACATATCGACATTGATGAGTAATGTTGTTTGCTTGCATAATATCAATAATACATTTTGGACCTTTTAACTTTTATTTTTTAACTATTACACATTTAAAAGCTAATAGCTACTTTTTTTTCAAAACACTTTTGCATAAATAAAAACTATAGCTTTCTTCTTTCAGCTAACAAATTTTAGCTACTACCTATAAATTTCTAGCTACCATATAGTTTTGATAAAACACGCCCTTAATAAGTAATGTTGTTGTGTAATATCAATAATACATTGATCGTTTTAGTCTTACATGTCAAAATACAAATTTCATAGTATTCCTCAATTCTAATATAAGAGGAGTTAGATAGAAAATGTAAAAGATGGCAAAAAGGTAAACGATTAGCATCTAGACACGTGTTTGTTGCTTTGCTAATCATGCTTTTATGTTCATAATAAGTGGAAAAACACCATGTGTCGTCGTCTAGTTAATTATATAATCTATTAGGTGTAAGACTCGTGTATTACATATATTGATTAAAAACAAGTAAAATATCAAAGTGTAAAGCATTTTTTTTTAAAAAAAGTTATGTTTCGAAGTAGATACAAACAAATGATAAATAAATAAGTAATTCAATATATACTAGTAAAAAACCTATTGACATATTTTAAATAATTGTTTGAATTATAAGTTTCAAAAAACTTATTTGAATACAACATTAGATGTCATATTATTAAGTTTACTATAATTGTTTAAAATAATATTGTTAATCCATTTCTGCTTTTAACTATAGATAATGCAATATACAACTACCTATAAGTGAACACTAGTTGTCTAAAAAAACATCACATTTGATAGCGACTGTCCTTGCCTGCTATTTATTTTCATCACAAAACATACAATCTGTTGAAACTGTGTTGTTTGAAATATGAACTGAAAGTTTTGGAATAAATGAATGGTTTCCTATATTACTTTCGAATATTATCTTTTCTTCTATAACACGATTACCCGATGCTATAACCAGTAATGTCGTTCCATTACACAAAACATATTTCTAATAAATATTCCTTAGTAACATAACTCAAGTATCGACTTTTAATACCAACTTATGAATTGACAAACCTGACAACTTAAGACCATTTAGAACATCAAGAGTATAAACTTTCGTCAAAGTCATCATGAACATAATATGAATGACAAAGTCTATATAAATGTAAGTATTCTTTTTCAGCACCCGAAAATAGTGATAACAATCTGTCATTTATTTCTTGAAGGAATTCATTTTTCGGTGCAATAATTGTTATATCTTGAAAAAAAACATCGGATTCTTGGCATTTAGAAGAATATAAGGATAAGAAAATTCAATTAATGAACCAATATGATCAAATGAATAAGTAATGAGAATCCAATATATCAATAATTGTCCTGCTATCATTTAAACCGTCAACCTTTCCTCTCTTGTATTTAAAAGTCAGTTTGTAAATGTCAATGTTTCTTCAATGTCAAATGTTCGAACACTTAACCTCAAGTTTTTTTTTTTGTTAATCTTAAGGCTTTGCATTTTGACCACATGTAGGAGGAACTTAATGGAACATTCACATTGTCTTGTCTACTTCAGTGTACTAAACAGAAACTGATTGATTAAAAAAAGTTAAATATAAAGGTTTACACATTAAGCATTTTAAAAATAAAATTTTGAAATAAATATGACCGAAATTATGAATAAGTACTTCAATCTAAACATATGTTGATTAAAAAAATATTAAATCAAAATAGTAAACATTAAACAATATGCTTCCAAATTTTGTGTTAACCATCTTATAATTAATAATATTCTCTGAAAAGTGACAAAAAATTAGTAAAAATTACAAAATATTCAATAGTTTCTTTCTGAAATACGTTATATTCTAAAAAATATACATCCGCCCCAAATTGTCATTAGTTGATTTCAAATCATAAATCATTTTCCGTTATAAATTATTTATGTAGACTGTTTGACATTTTCTTTATATATATATATATATATATATATATATATATATATATATATATATATATATATAGAGAGAGAGAGAGAGAGAGAGAGAGAGATAGAGAGAGAGAGAGATGTGTGTGTTCAAATGAGAACATTTCTTAATTTGAGAACAATTTAAAACTTGGAGCATATAAAAAGGCCCACCCACCCTCACCTGACAGTATCGCACCCCCACCCTCCCACCCACCCAATCTACCGAAAGTCCTTTTCTCTCATGTGTAGATGGAACACCTGAGATCAGCCGAACATCGCCTTGGTCACCGGAATGTTGTCGGAGTTACCAGACAATCGTCGGAATAACATATCATTTCTTCTCCACTTTCTTCAGATGTGGTTGTACACTACCTCCCTCCGCCTCTACTCCTTCCACACTCAGAAACAATGTATGTTCTTGTTTTCTCTCCAGCGAGTATGTTTCTCGATTTGGTTCTAGTGGCAATCGTATCCTTAGGATTTGGTTAGATTTTATCGACTTGGGTGTACCAAATCACTAACTAGCTGAACTCGATTTCTTCATTTTAAAGGTGTAGATGGAAATTTATTGACGATGGTGGAGATAGAAAATCAACTGGAATAGGAAGGAAGAGGATTAATGAAATTGAAGTCGGTGTTTGTGAAGGTGGGCGACCTAAAACCTGGAACCAAAGACCATACCCTCGCCTATAATTATCAATGAGTTCATCAATCAAGCTCAAGTGTTACTTCTTCAAAAATTGATCACCAAACGGGTGCACTGTCTTCGACGGAGCATGTTTCGCCAGAATGACGTCAATCGGAATCATTAGCTGCGTCTACCAATGCTCTAACTGTGCAAGAGAAAGC